TTACTAGAAACCTCCCATATCCAGAAGGAAGCTGAGAACAGCAGGTAGTAAGTACAGCAAGCTCCCAAGCAGCTAACAAACAAAAACCAAAACACTGCACAGAAGTCCATGTATTAAAAAGTATGTAATTTCCCCCTTGAGGGCCACAATATCTCAGCCCTCTATGCAGAACTTTACAACTCCTTTTTTCTAGACATAAATATAATTATATGGTTTCCAATAACACAGTAGAGTAAAAGTGTCAAACTTGAAATGGAAGAAAAGCTACTTTTGTTACACCAACAGCACTGAAAAGTTAAAAACCCCGTGTTTAATAGAAGGTTGGTGATGATTCTATGTTAAAAATTAAAGACAGGAAAAAGAACCACAGCAGTTTGGGGTTATTGAGTATACAGGCAAAACCTGCATGGTGTAATAATTTATGTTTATAAAGATGCTCCTAAGTAACCAGTAAGAGGTTAAATTATGTTTTTTTATACCCTATTTTAAGGAGGGCAACTTTGCAATATATTTCAGAACAAGGCAGATGGTTAAAATTTTAAATCAAAGTTTTAGTTCTTAAAGGAGAATGCTCTAAGCTGTCTATAAAACTGAGCTGTCCAGAATTATTTATTGTTTGAGATTTTTTAAAAATCAAAATGTTATTAAACCTAGGTCAAGTGAGACACTTTCTTTCAGTGAATTCCAAGGATAAAGAATTCCAATTAGAGAAAGAATTTGTGATAAATATAATAAATAAGAAAGTGACTCTTATTTACCACTGAGATAAAATAAAAAGGTTTGCTCCAGACTCATTTTTTTTCTAAATGTCACAATTAGGTTTTTCCAAAGCAAATGTTGTTTTTATCTGTTTGCTGTGTTCTTCTGTTAACCTGGCTGTCTCATTAGAAACAGGGACATTTCCTAGTGAAATTAATGTGACATTTAGAGAAGATTTCCTCTCTCAAATGTTTCATGTTGTTTGCCATTTAGCATACTTAGAGAAGATATTGGAATAATGTCAAGCAAATTTTGATTAAATAAGGCTGAGTAGGAGCAAATACATTCATGCACGAAAGGAGAAAAGCTCTTGTATTATATCTTAAAGAACGTATTTCTTCTGTGGTTCTTTATCCTAAATTGAAATGACCTTGACAGATAATCTGACAGAAGTGACAACTCCTAAACAGCTGGGCTTCCCTTAGAAAATGCAACACATTTGGTCAGAGCCTGTGATCAGCCCTTTGTTCAAGACAATTGTTTGCCACCCTGAAGGTACACTAACATTTCCTGGAAAACTTTATTAAAAAAACCACCCAGTGCCTGAGTCCAACTCCAGGCTAATTGCCTCAGAATCTCTTGGAGTGGGTCCTTGGTGACAGTATTTTTATTTTTTGTTTATTCACACAAAAGAAGATTTTGAGATGATTCTCATGTGTAGTTAGGACTGAGAACCACTGGCTTAAGACATGCAAACTATTCATTAAGAAAATATTATTTCCTTCTTTTGGATGATCTGAGTCTCATCCTTTGCTCCACCAGAAGTGTGAAAAAATATGCTCTCTTAGTGCACAGGAGCTGGGTTTGGGCATACACCTTGAACCAGTAAGAGCTAGAACACTTGATGTCAGTACACATAGACCCATAATATAATAGGCCATCTATGGCCAGTTAACTCAGTTGTTTGGAATGTAGTACTAATGAGGCCAGAATAGTGTATTCTATCCAATTAGAATAATTCTGTTGCATAGATTTTTCCCATAACTGTAACTCAGCTGCCTCACAAAGAGACCTGAGACAGATTACAAAGGCACAAGACAATGGGTAAATCAGCATAGCCCCATCCATTCTGGGAAAATCGGTTTTAGGAACCTGCCACATTAACTAGCACTACTAATTGCATTAGGATGCAGCAGAGGACATCTGCCCATGAAGGTTTGTGCTGATTTGGGGCACTATATATTTTCATTTGAAGGTCAGGACCTGCAAGAATGTGTGGTTTACTCCTTTGGAATTAAAAAAGGAGGAAGAAAGATAGGAAGGTTATAAGCTTCTATGATACTCTTCTCTTTACAGTAGCAGATCATGCCTGGCACATCTGCCCAGGGTTAACTGACGTGTACTGGGGGGAAGAATTGTTTAGGTCATTACAAGTAAGCCCTCTAGACTTGTCTCTTCTCAACTTAATGCCAGGGAGTGGGAATTCTCATGATGAGATATATTATGGCATTAGGACCAAGAAGTAGTATTTTCGTTAGAAATAAAATGTGCATGGTTTTGCTTCTTTGCCTGAACATGTGGTTCTGGCACCATGCCTGGAGGTCAGGTCTCCATGGAGCTTCATATTTGTTGCACAGTGCACACAGGTTCCATGCCTTTATATGCAAAAATATGGAAAATTTTCTACTTGAGAACTGTCTTCTTTAAAGGCAGTAAAGACAGATTCTTTAAATACAGTAGCTTGGGTTGCTGGCACATCTTATGGTTTTTCTGCAAAGCCAGTATCCTCTAGATTTACTTTTTGTATTTGTGTCTCTTTACTAACCTTGAAAAAATGATTTAGTAGATTTTCAAGATGAGATAGAACATGGATGTGCCACTATTTTATTGCCTCAATGAGGTCAAATTCCTGATCCTACTTGGAGTTGCAGGTTCCATATAAAGCACAGGGATCAGGATTCCCGCCTTTCCTGTCATGGGTCTGATAAACACAGCTGAAATTCTCCTTTGGATTCATGTTCTATTATCCCTGTTTTACAGAGAAGAAAACTGAGGCATGCAGGGATTAAGTAATTTGCCCAAGATCACAAACTGAAGTGAATATTTGAACTGCTGAGTGCTTAATCAATTCCCTGTTTTAACAGATGTATTAGTCCATTCTTAAATTGCTCTAAAGAAATAAATGAGGCTGGGTAATTTTATAAAGAAAAGTGGTTTAATTGGCTTATGGTTCTGCAGATTGTACAGGAGGCATGATGCTGATATCCCCTTGGCTTCTGCGGGGGCCTCATGGTGGAAGGTTAAGGGGGAGCAGGCATATAACATGGTCAGAGCAGAAAGAGAGAGAGAGAGAGAGATGGGGAAGAAATGCTACACACTTTTAAACAACCAGATCTCACGAGGACTCATTCACTATAGAGAGGACAGTACCAAGAAGGATGGTGCTAAACCATTCATGAGAAATTGCCACCATGATCAAGTCACTTCCCACCAGGTCCCACCTCCAACATTTGGGATTGTAATTCAACGTGAGATTTGGATGGGGACACAGGTTCAAACCACATCAACAGGATAGCATAAGTTTTATGGAGTAGTGAACTTCTCACTTGTTAAATTATATGTTGTACTGAATATCATAGATGAACACATTTAACCAACATCATTTTTACTTGTTATGTTGGTACAATGAATTAACTTGAGTGTTTGTTGGTTGACTGACTGATGTATATACTTGTTACAGCAAATACTTGGATTGTATTCCTAACATGGCTTCAAGTTTTCTTCCTTTTCCTGTTTGTGACAATTTCAGCATTCACTCTCTATGAAGAAACCAGAAATAAACTGACCCTTTTGATTTTTAGTCTCCCAACCCATGCTTCCAATAGCATTAAAAATTGCTTGAGTTTACATTAAAAAGGGGATATAAAAGTCAGGATAAAAGCAGTGTGAGTAGATATTACACAGTCCATCTTCAAATGAGGGGCATGGGTGGGTGCATGAACGTACCTGAGTAAGTACAGGCAATGTTGGGGTTTAGTTTCTTTCTAAGTACTGTCTCCTCCTCTCTCTTACACATTCATCATCCCCCTTCCTACCTATTGTAGGCACTTGGGGTCTTCACCCTTACTGCTGGCTGTTTGGTGCCCATGTAGTAGCTGGATCTGCTATTGCCTGTTCTGTTTTCTTCTCCATTAAACCGTGAACTCCCTGGAAGCAGGAGCAGCATTTAGGAGCCTAGCAGAGTTAGTATCTGACAGGTAGAGCTCTGAGAGGATTCTGCTCTTTTGTTTGCTAGACAGCAACAAGCATTCATAATTTCAGAAGGCTCCTAAGGAAAGGTGGGAATGGTGGAGATTTCTAGTGGGATGGCAAGAGTGGGGGCGATGTGTTTGGGTAATTTCTAGATCATACAGTGGTTCAGGAAGAGTAGTACTTAAGTGCTGGGGATGAGATCCACTTTACTAGAACATTCAGTTACTTTAGTGTCAACTTTTCTCTGGATTTCACCCCTTCTGAGGCTTTTCCCCTTTAGTTCTCCCAACCTCTGGGTGATCATAAGCTGCTTTTTCATCACTTTCATCTGGCAGGTTTTCTGCATTTGCTTTTATAAAGCCATTGCTCCAGCAGTCTGCTGTAACCAGATTAAACAGTGGTGTTCTAATGACAGGAGCTGAGACAGGTTTGCTTGCAAACTTCATGTTTCACATGAAAGGCTTTGGCACCCCCTGTGGACTGTTCTTCACCCTGTTTTAGGCTTAATACTTGTTTGCCTTTATATCTGGGATAAAACAAAGGCCTTCCTGTATAACCAGTGCTGAGCAAATGTCTTGAAACAAAGGGAAGTGCAGAGTTTAAATCCACAGTGGGGGATTACCTTGCCTGCATTTCCATATCTTTGGAATAAATATTTTAACATGTTAATTATCTACTACTAATAAAAATACCTTTGAACTTCCAGTCAATTTGATGGGCATAGAATTGTCTCCACTGGGGAATGGGAAGCAATTAGTTTCTGTAAAGATTGTAGGTCATGTTGTCTCTTTTCGGTAAGTGGTTGCATGGTCAGTAGCCAGTCATATTCTGTTTGTGCCAAGACTGCCTTGGTCTGCAGAGGGGAGCTGCTGCCTCCACGGAGCCCCTAGGGCCCGAAGGAGGCAGACGCTGCTGCTCCTCTGTGGCCTTGGATTCCAATTCACTCACTGCTTCTTAGCCCAGAAAAAATATTCCTTCTAAGTAGGACAGTTAAGACTCTACTTATAAATCATCCATGTAATCTTTTAAATTTTTTCTTCTCATTGCAGACTGAAAACTATTCTTTTGACTCCAACTACGTGAATAGCCGAGCTCATTTAATCAAAAGGTACGTTGGTTTGCTTGCTTATTGCTACAACTAACCTTGATTTCACATTAAAAAGCAAAACAGATTAAAATTTTTAAATCGTATTTTTTCTGGGATTTAAAAATGAATGCCTAACCTACTTATTGTAGGAAGTTTGGAAAATTGAGAAGCATAAAAAAAGTAAATATACATCACTGGTAATTCCATCAACTAAGGGTAATCACTGTTGACATCTTACATTTCTTTGTATGAAAATGTATGTATAAACACTCAAAATGAAAAATAAAATTGGGATTATGTTAAAATATAGTTTTATATAGTGACAAATCTGATATTACAGATATTCACTATTTCTAGTATTATTTCTAATTTCTAATATTTCTAATGTGATATTAGAAATATACAATAGGAAACTTTTACAATCATGTTGATACAAAAATCTTGTTGCTCTTCACTTTAAGCCTTAAAAATTTTTTCATGTAGGACTTCCCATGTGTTTTGAGATTGCTGCTATTTCAACAACTTTGAAATCATTTTGAGGGTATTTTAATGACAGAGAAGCTAATCCTTTCCTTCCTAGATGAGAGAGAAAAAGAAATTTGCCTGATTCTTCTTAAAATATTTAGAAGTGTTTCAGATGAAACATTCAAAGTTGAGATTTATGTGATTGGTTGGTCATAATTTAGTATCTAAGGAGCTGTTATGGATGTGAGTACAGAGCTGAATACTGCCAAGAAAGATTCCATCTGGTGCAGTGGGCTGCACCCAATGAGAGAAGGACAAGGGGTTTGGGAAGCCCTCTAAAGGATGGAAACTGAGCAAAGAACAGAACCTCTCAGTGGAAACTGAGAAAGACCAGTCCTGACCATTCAAATGATGACTTTATTGCTGTTTCATGTAAATAGTTACTTAAATGGTCCAGTGCTTATTCTGTAGCTAAAATTGAACTCTGAATATGTTTGTTAAAACAGTTGAAATGAAACAGAGGCAAGTAGGGTATGTTAGAGCTGTAGCAGAGAAGAGTTGCAAATTCTATTATTTTGCCGGCTCTAATCCCATAAATTTACATCACCAGAATAGTAGAATTCAAGGAATAAACAAGCTTCAAGTAACTTGCATTCATGTCTAATTTAATTTATGAGGCTTCAGTAACCCCTAAAACATGCTAAGTTTATCTGTATTGGTCTGGAATTACTTGTGACCCTAAGTGATGATCATTAGTTGTCTGACAATGGGTAGTCCTTGTATTACCAGTGAAAGCACAGTTGAGAATTTTTTTTTTTTGAGGGGTTGGGAGGAATCCATTTAGAATATTTTTCTGGCTCACATCATAAAAGCAAAAGGTGAGGAATTCAAAATTATCTGGCTAATTTGTTTTAGAAAGAAAAAAGATACCTTCTTATGTGCACTGATTAGAGTGCCTTTGTAGCAGAAATCTGCTTTGTTTTCTGCTTTCGGATTGTTATTTTCAAAGCTCCATTTTAAAACTTTGATAAAAACAGTGACTCGCCTTATCCTCACAGGTCCCTTGGGCTAACTCAGGGTACCTGAGAATCCTATAGCCAGGTTAAACAGATAACATGACACTGGACGCAGTGTTTCATGCCTGTAATCCCAGTGCTTTGGGAAGCTGATGATGGAGGCCAGGAGTTCGAGGCCAGCCTGGGCAAAATAGTGAGACCCTCCCCGCCCCACCATCTCTACCAAAAAGAAAAATAAATAAATAAAATAAAAAAACCTGATAATATGAGTCTTATTTTCACAGTCTGGAGGAAAGCTAAGACTCTCAGGGACCCTTGCATCTTAAACAGTCCTGACTATTCAATTTACAAGGTAGACTGATAAGATAAAAACTTAAGTTTAAACATTTAGCTTTGGGGATACATGTATTTCCACAGCAGTGTTGAGGCTTACTGGGAACCTCTGATTTTGGTTAATTATTTTATATGTTTTTTGTTTATACACACATACACACAAAAGGCACAAGCTAGACTTAATAGGTTCTTGGTGGAAAAGTCTCTTGATTATCCATGAAATCAAAGATAGCTTTTTTTTTTTTTTTAAAGCAGGGACTACCTTGATTAAGAGGCAACAACATCTGAAAGCTCGGGAGACACATGCATTTTTGACAGGATTCTGTGTATAGAATTGTGAGGCTTTGGGGAACCCTGAAGGCTTTGAAATTTGTGTGGCCAATTGAGTTTAGACAAAGCATAATACCTAGAAACATACAGGGAATCTTATGTGCTATGCTGTTCTGGGGACCAACTGGGATAAATGTAAAATGTGTGGAAAATGTCGAGAGTGGTGGCAAACACCAGGTGATAAAAGCATGCAAAGCCTTTTCAAACAGTTTGCAGCAATGTTTGAAAGGAGTTTTGCTGTATGTGTTTTTTTGAAGATCCATTTATATCCATGGAAAAAACTCTTGGCCAGGAAATTCTGAATCTGATTATCAGTTTTAATTTTACTATCAAGTCCCTGTTTCTTTGAATGCCAATACAATTTCAGGCTGACTTTGATAACTTACTTTTCCTTTTTGTTCTTTTTTTTTGAGATGGAACCTTGCTTTGTTGCCCAGGCTGGAGTGCAGTTGCTGGATCTTAGCTCACTGAGAACTCCACCTCCTGGGTTCAAGCGATTCTCCTGCCTCAGCCTCCCAAGTAGCTGGAGTTACAGGCATGCACCACTGTGCCTGGCTAATTTTTGTATTTTTAGTAGACATGGGGTTTCCCCAGATTAGCCAGGCTGGTCTTGAACTATTGACCTCAAGTGATCTACCTACCTCTGCCTCCCAAAGTGCTGGGAATACAGGCGTTCACCACCACACCCGGCCGAGAACTAATTTTTCTATCCACGTTCTCTTGTTCTATTCATTTTCTGCTTATCCAAGGATGTTTCCTGGATTTTTCTTTTTGGCATTTTCTAGCAGTGGTTAGCATTCTTAGCCAGACTGTTTACACACAGGTATCTTTTCCTCTCTTACATCTATCTATCTTGAGTAGTTGAATAGCAGCTACCACTGTCCACCTTTGCTTCTTTCCTTCGTCAGTCAGGTTTCCTACATGAAGTAGTTGGCACAGCTAAATTGAAATGGCTTAAGGAAAGTTTATTTACAAAGGTAATTATTTACAAAGGCTTGGAAACGATTAGCGAACCTCCAGGGATACTGCTGTATTATGGCACTGGAAGAGCTAAAAATACTTCAGACAGGACAGGGGAAGAGAGTAGGGAACATTGACTTGAGAGTAACAGTTACTTTTGGTTGGCCAAGGGATCCAGTCGTCATGAAGTGACCCTGAAAGGAAGGGGCAGAGACAATCAATATCCTGATATCACTGTCCTCCTCTGCTCTGATCTCCTGCTGGTGTCTTCCTTTGGCTAAACCCAACAGAAAGCCAGAGAGCAAGGGGGTTCCCATAGGCACAAATCAAGATTGAGAAGGATTTGGAAGGGAAAAGGAAGTGTTATGGAAGGCTCCCCATAATTTCATGCACCAAGGAATCTAGCATTATATTTCTGTAGTTTATTATTTTTTTTTCTCAAAACGTCACTTGCAACCTGCAGATATACCCAAGGAGGCTTATGTGAGAGTCCCAGATTAACAAATCATGGCAGTGCAGACTTTCTTTTGGATGGACTTCCTTCCTGCTCTGTTTGTTTCTTGCTATCTTCTCAGAGCAAGGGAAGCCAGCAGTGGTACTTTGCCCGTGCTGCAACACTCTTTCCTCATGCCCGTTTTGTGGTCTGCTGTCTGATATCCACTCCTGCAGTACTTTGGGAACAATATCAAGCAGGCCATGAGTCTGTGGCCAAAGAAAATGAAATAGGAAATCAACAAAGCACTGACTCAGTGTGGAAAGGAATAGGAGGTTTGGCTCCCTAAATCATGCACAGTGCTTTCTTTTTCCACCCAAATTGTCCTGGGGTTTTGCAGCACCTCATATAGGGCCTTGTATATAGTAAGTGGTTGGTACATGTTTATTGAGTGAATGCATGAGAGAAATTGAAAAAACCTTAGCCTTTTTCTATTAAAGACTAGCACTACATTTCTCTTTAAGTCAGCGATTTCTGAATTTTAATGTGCATTGGAATGACTTGGAAAGCTTGTTAAAGGCAGAGACACACTAGCTCCATCCCTAGAGAACTTCCAGTTGTAACAGGTTCCCAAGGTGATTGTGATATAGGTGGTCCAGAAACCACTCTAGGATTTTCCTTATATTACTTAAATACAGTTAAAATAATCTGGATTCTCACTCCCTTCTCATTCCTAGCCTCAGATATTATTCTCTGGGTATGTGGTATCACCTACTAGGAAGATAAAACCTGTTTCCATTCAGATCTTATGTCTTTTGGAAAGGAGTTCTAATATTTTACGTGGTAAATATGGGTCAGAATTTGTGTGTTCATTCATTATGTGTCTGCTGAGTAGTGCTTCTGTACAGAACCTTGTTCTAGGTGTTTTCAAACATACCTGTCTTTCTGTTGGCCACCAGAGCAGTAATAGAAACATGTGCATTTACAATATCACTGGAAACAGGAACCTCTAATTTATTGTCCCACAAAAGTTGTTTTACAAGTCCTTCATCTCCCAAGAGGTATGCTGGTAATAAAGCAAGTGAAATCAGCATTTTTTATGCCTGGCATAAATTGTTACTTGTTTTGGGTTAGTAGCCATTTACCAGGCTGTTTTACAATTTGCAGCATCTTGTTCACTGGGTCTTAAACTGCCTTGCACAAATCCATTCATTACACCGCTAAATGCTCTTACAAGATCAGTGTAAGTGGCACTTAGTTTGTCAGATGGGCAAACTAATCTTTAAATGAGTTAACTATTCTAAGGTTTGGGAGAGTTGTTACACCTCTTGCTTTTTATTCTGAGAATACACAACTTCTTGTGCTCACACTACCAGTCCCTCACATCCTAGTAGCTAATCCTTCACTGTTTTATTTCCATCATTTCTATTTAAAAATCAAAATCTCTAAGGTTGTTTATAACATTCAGGTGCCTATAAAAAGGATGATCAAATTTTTAAAAGACAGATCCAAAACCAATTAGGAGAAGTAAGGTAGACATCTCTGGCATCCAGGGAGGTAACTGACTGCAATTAAACATTACATTTATGTTGAAGTTTTTGAGAAGCCAAGAGAAAGCAGTAAGTACATCAGTTGACATAGTTTTCATTATTCAACAAAGGAAGGATGGACATTTGACAGAACTATTTTTTTTTCTGTTCTTTAGTGTTAGAAGAAATTAACATATTAGGCAGTGTGTGACTATTATTTATAGAAGTTATAGAAATATTCTTTAAATTTAAATTTTCTATACCAATCCTATAAAAACCATGGGCATAATATTTAATTGTAACTCAGTAAAAGCATTACTACACAGAATAATGATTGCATTAAACAATAACCATTTATGGAGCATCTATGTGTATCTGGTACTTCATGTACAGTCTCTTTGAGTCTTCTAAATGGCCTTGTGAAGGTGGTTTTAGCAAACACATTTTACAGATAAAGAAACTGAGATTCAATTACATTAGGTATCAGGTTCAGGACCATATAGATGAAGTGGTAGATTATAGATTATTACTTGTCCTAATGACTCCAAGTTCAATGCCTTTCACTACAGTTTGCTATAGAAATAAATAACCTAGAGCAGTTGTTCTCAACTCGGTGGTGATTTGGTAATGTCTCTTTGGAGACACTTTTGGTTTTTTCCCTTAAGTGGAGGTCACTACTGACATCTAGTAGATAAAGGGCAGGGATGTTGCTAAACACCTTACAATGCATAGGCAGCCACAACAAAGGATTATGCAACCCCAAATGTCAATAGTGCAAAGGTTGGGAAGTCCTGTTTCAAGGGCTGGTTAATTACGTTGCCCTCATACTAGACCCATCACCATCATATGTTTCAAGCGAGTTTCAACAACTGCTGAATTCAGAGTTGATTATTTTGGCTTAAAGTGGCAGTTTTTTGTTGTGAATTAAGGAAATTTTCAGATACCAGAAAATATACAGGTTGGAAAGTTAATATTTGTTATAAAAATGGAGGACCTGAATATCATCCAGGCAGGTCATTTCCTTTCTCCATAGGTACATGGGTGCTTGTAGGCAGGCACCCACCTCACAAAACAGAGAATAGTTTCTAAAAAGCAAACTTTAAATTTACTTAAACTGTGGGATTATAATAGTATTTCCAGAAAACTCCATAATATGCGCCATAAAGCTAGAAATAGTGAAACACTTAAATCATGTGTTTCCAATTGGCCATCCTGACCATAAAAGAACTGTAGGATAATTTGTTTTTCTAAAAGAACTGCATCCTGGTGGGTCCACAAGGCTGTTAGCTGTGTGACATAAATTGAAGGAGCTGAGTGAGTGATTTTAAATTTAGTGCAGTTGATACTCAGTTATTCTTTCTGAAAATAATTAGCTAACAGGTCAGTGCTTCACTCTCTCCTACTCTTTATTTTCTTATAATTATGCCTTTCCAGTTACTGCCCTCCAGATCTTTCCTTTTTATATTCAGGTCAGCAAGCATTCTACATCTAGGTTGGTCATATGTTAAAAATCTGCTGTGATTCTTCTTGACCAAGTGTGAAGAGTGACAATGTTTCCATTGTGTCCATGGCATAGCTTTTCATTATATTTACTGAATCTTCTTATCAGTCTCAGAGAGCCAGGCCTGTGAATGTCCAAGGTTGAGCAGATCAAGTGAGTTTGCAGTGTCATCTCCACAGGGATCTTTTCTCAGAGGCATACTTGGTCTGTTAGGGTTTGTTTTAATTCACAAACATGCCACTCTTCCTTGTTGAGGCAACAACACATTTTCTTGAGTGTGCCTTTGCTGCTTCCTCACTGACTTGGGAATGGATTCACCATCCACTAGATATTTCAGATACATAATTTATGGATCATGGTATAGCACAGCTGTGGATTCTGTCAGGACATACAAAGTATTAGAAATACCAGGTGGGTGTCCTATAGCTGTACCTTATGTATTATTGTCTATTCCATAGAAATGGTATGGAGTTCTTGGATTGCATGCTTAGTGCATTGTATGGTAGATTGATTTAATAAATGCAAGGGTCATGTTACCCACCAACTCTTGAGCTGAAAGTTTTCATGTTCTTAGTATGACTATACTCACAATTGTATTAGTGCTCACTCTCTGGTTCTCATTTTTATCTTACCTTCTGTATTAGTTAGGGTTCTGCAGAGAAACAGAACCAATAGGCATATCTAAATCTGTATATATGTAGAAAGAGTTTTATTGTAAGATATGGGCTCATGTGATTATGGGGGCCGAGGAGTCTCATAATCTGCCATCTGTAAGGTGGAGAACCAGAGAAGATGGAAGTGTAGTTTGAAGGCCTGAGAACCTGAGAGCCAATAGTGTAGCTTCACGTCTAGGTCTGAAGTCTTGAGAACCAGGAGCACTGAGGGTGGGAGATGATTAATGTCCCAGCTCAAGCAGTAGGGCAGAGAGCAAACTCAGCGTCTTTCTCAGTTTTTGTTTAATTTAGTCCTTCAATGGATTGGGTGACACCCACCCACATTGGGGAGAGTTATTTGCTTTACTGAGCCTACCAATTCAAATGCTAATTTCTTCTGGAAATGCCTTCAAAGACACACCCAGAAATAATGTTTAACCAGCTATCTGGGCATTCCATGATGCAGTTAAGTTGACTCACAAAATTAAACATCACACCTTCCACGCACCAAGGCTCTCCTCTTCTCAGCTACTGACTCTACTCTTTTTCTTTGAATATGTTCATTCGTCTTTCTCAGATAAAACTGACCTGGGTTCTGTGATCCTGATAATACTTCCTATTTTAATTGCACTGCTTCAGTTTCTGCTACCTTTGCTTTTTAAAGTTGGTTAGTAGACATCTTTTAAGAGTCAATATGCATAGTGGGTAAATTTCTAGGCCAGGCTCAGGAGGTAGACTACCTGTCTTTGGTCTTAGATCAGCTATATTTTTTACCAGCTGTGTGACATTGGGTGAGTTATCTCACTTCTATGTACCTCTGTTTTTTTCACCTGTAAATGAAAATATTAGTAAAACCTTTGTCTTATAGAATTGTGATGATTTAAACAGTTAATGTCAGACACTTAAAACAGTGCGTCATGTATAGTTATCCCTCAGCAATCATTAGCTATTATTATTTTACTTTGATTTTATAAGAAGAGAATAAAGCCTTCTGAAATGATAACATTCTTTAGAGGCAGTTTTAGATTTGTAGCTTCTTTCATCTTGTCTGTAGTGATGTACTGAAGATAAGTGAATGAAAATATTAGCCGTATCAGCATCCAATAGTGGGAACCTTTCTGCAATGTTAAGTTTTATTATCTTTAAATGCAAATTTCTCTTCCGCTTATTCCTACCCTATTGGACAATCTAGCCACCGTTTGCGTCATTACAGAGCTGACATCATTCTGGCTCAGAAAGATTTTTAAAATCAGATCTGTCACGGTTGTAAATTATCATTCTTTCTTCAACCCAGCAGCTCCACCTTCAAGGACTTAGAGGGCAACAGCCTGAAGGATAGTGGACATGAGGAGAGCGACCAAACTGACAGTGAGCATGATGTCCAGCGAAGCCTGTATTGTGATACTGCTGTCAATGATGTGCTGAACACCAGTGTGACCTCCATGGGATCTCAGATGCCTGACCATGGTAAGGACTGGTTTGATGTAAGTTGCAACAATCGACTCCAAAGAACTGAATGTTTGTAGGCACACTGTACTACTTTGCTTAATGAGTGTATTATCAAGATGTCTACAGAGCTCATACCTCAGCATCATCTACAGGTTTTTGAGATGTCCTGACACCTAGCCAGACTCTTCTTTGCCCTCCCTAAGTAGATCCCCTAGGTCTGTATAATGTTCAGGCATTTTAGAGGCTGACTACATGTACGTATTACATACATTTTCTTCAATAAAATTGCACTGAGCTTATAGGAGATGAACAGATGCCTTCTCTCCAGGAATAAATGTCTCTTTTTGCTTTAGTACATGAATTTAGTTGATCAATTGCATTGCATAGAACACAGCACTAATGAAACCAAAGGGGTGGGTTTTATTTCCTTATCAGACTGGTTAGCTTTACCCAGAGTGAGACTGTTCTCTGACTGTGTACTATTTACCGAGGATAGAAAGTCCCAAAGTTCCCATTTTGTCTATGGGACTGCTATGCCAAATCTGTCCCTCTAGCTACTACACAAAACCATGCCATTAGTCATAGGGGACACCAGGGTAAAAGAACATGGCTGAGTGAATGTAAAGTGTTCCATTAATATGAAAGGCACTTCAAAGCACATGTCAGGAGTGGCATCCTCATGTATGAAGAAGAGTCTATTTTTGTGAACTCAGCCACACATGCTTTAGCAAGGGGCACTATTTAAAACTTTGCTAGGCAGAAACCAGGGTGTAATAGCATTAGCAGAGTTCAACTAAGGCAGAATGTTTAGATTGACTTGGGCACAAATGTCATTTTCAGTATTTTACTGATGCAAACATGCTATGCAAACAGCCTGTCTTTTTCAATCAAGAAATATGAATTCAACTTGGTGTTTAGGCTCAGTGAAGCTTCAGAATGCTTGGCTATGTCTTGAGAAAAGCTAGACTCAAGCTCAGCTGGAAGCCCTACTGCTAAAAGACTTAAAGATGAGAAAACAAAATATGGTGATTATGTGCTGGTCTTCAGCTGTTTCATTTCACTGTAAACATCATTAAATGCTTTTGTTTTGGTTTTGGAAATAAATCCAAAGGAAAAAATGTGCCATCCACAAAACAAAATGTTTTTCATGGAAAGAATTAGTCACTATAGATTCTATTAAATTGTCTAATCCATCCCCTCCCAAGCAGACCCAAGTGTCAAAGTCTATTATATATAGAGGTCACTATGAATTGTGCACTGTTGCCTTCCCTAATTGGTGAGTGGTGATATCTGCAGAGATAATACACTTTCTGGGAAACCTTACTAGAACTAAAGATGAAAAAAATTAAACATTTATATAACTGAAGCAGAGGCAATTTAATACTCAGAGGATTAGCAATATGTCACAGGATGCAAACTGATATATATCATTTACTAGTCGTGTGTTTCAAAGAAACGCTTTTTCATTTATATCAAGAAAGGGTTTTAGTTAGATGCTCTCTAGAATGAAATGACTCCAGGAAAGGAAATAGTCATAATTGATTCTCACTTTATGCCTGGCTAGCACAACATCTGTTTTAATTTTTTGTCACATTTCTCTAGGAAATTGGTATCAGGGGGCTCAAGCTAGTTTTTCTGGGAGAGTGTTTATTACGAATGGGATGTATTGCATATGTATGTATGTATACATATATATGTATTTATGTATATATATGTATATGTTTATATATATACACTGTGTAGATTGGATAATAAGAAGAGTATATATTTTTTGTGAATGCATACCTAAATTTTATTTCAGCTTAGCCATTTAGGCTGAAGGTAGAATCCACCAGTCTCCATATAGGTAGTGACCATATATCCCAATTTGCCTTGTAGACCTCACTTTACATCTATGTCCTTGGCATAATCAATGATGAGAATATTCTAAAGGAAATGTGTGGCAATGTCCCAAGATTCTCCTACATATAAGATGATGATTTTATATATACACACATGCATACACACACATATATACTTTTTGCTATTCCATTTTTTGGCAACTGTTTCATTTTCTTTCTTACTATTTTATTTGCATGTGTGTATCTTCATTTTTTCTATTTTTCTGGCAGTGGTTAAATCTTGAGCCAACCTTTGAGTGAGTTCTTTTCAACTTGTATGATTGCCTAAAGTTTAGGTACAAAAAGAATTTGGATCTTGTTTATACCTCAGTCTCTCCCTTGTGATATCCTACTACTTCTGAAGCTTTCTGTAATAATAATTGTGTGTCCCAAATGAACTCCAGGCTTGCCATATAGGTTCCATCAGCAGTTCACTTGGACTGATGACTGCAACCTCAAAAAAGAGCAATAACTTCAACAATTAACATTTCATAGCATTTTACTATCTCAAGCCTGCACTTGCATAATAAGTATATCACATTTTATCTTAAGGTACAGTGGTTGAAAGGTAGTCAATGGGTGATCTATCATGCATGCCTGATATTATAACCATTGTAGTTAGATTTGTCCTGGGGTAGCCTGGTATTGTTGCTTCAAAGGACTACCAATTTATAAAGGTGAGAAGGGAAAATAGAATCTGCACTGGACTGAGATTTGTACTGAAAATCTCAAGTATTTCTTGAGAAGAAAAACCAAATCCCCTTGTTTCATTGGCACTGTGATAGGAATCTTAAACCCAAGTGTCCTGAAATCCTTGGAATTCCAGAGCAACTGTTCTTGAGGTTTGTGTAGGTGTCACCAGAGCATAGTGAAGAATGTAATGAATTTGTCAGGCTAACTCTGATCCTGATATTTCTTTTAGTTCTGCCAGAACTACTCTAAAGTTGGGCCAAATGTACCCAAAAGAGCGTACCTTACACCTTTGTTTTGGGGAGTTTGTCTCACCTTTTATTTCATGTCTGTAACTCTCTCTGTGACTTTTCTAATTTGGATATTAGTATTGCATCTTCCTTGCACATATGTGGACACATGATTGATGGGGAATTTCAAAATTTTCAAAATAAAGGTAATTTTGTACATCAGTTAATTTTTCTGTTGAGCAGGAATGGGTTGTTCAATGAGCTGTGTTTGAGGTAAAGGTACAAATTATATTTACTCTTCTTTCTGAGAGACACCTGGGTCCTGTGCTTTTCCATACTGCCAAATGTTCCTATGGGATTTGTCTTTATGGCTTTAATGTAGCAGAAGAATGATTGGTATGAATAACAGGGGTGGTTTGTGACTCTGAGCAAGAGCCCAAATTCATTCATTTTCAGTAACCCTTCTCTGAGAACATTTCTAGAGGTGGGAAACCAGAATCACTATATTTAATGAAGGAAGGAGAATATTATATTCAACATAGGAAAGAGAATGTCTAGAAGACTTCCTTTTTTTTTTTTTTTTGACACAGAGTCTCACTCTGTCACCTAGGCTGGAGTGCAGTGGTGCGATCTCTGCTCACTGCAACTTCCGCTTCCTGTGTTCAAGTGATTCTCCTGGCTCAACTTCCAGGTAGCTGGGACTACAGATGCACAGTACCACGCCTGGCTAATTTCTGTATTTTTAGTAGAGACAGAATTTCACCATATTGGCCAGCTTGTCTTGAACTCCTGACCTCAAGTGATCCACCCGCCTCAGCCTTCCAAAGTGCTGGGATTATAGGCATGAGCCACCGTGCCTGGCCTAGAAGATTTTTGAACTCAAAGGGCAAAAGTCAGGTATTTAGTCACTAGGAGGTTTGGATTATGTGTTTCTTTTTCAAGTTTTAAAAATGTCTAAATTTATTTTTTGTTTTGTTTATAAATGACACATCATAATTTTACATGTTTGTGGGGTACAGTGTGATGCTTCAACACGTGTATATGTTATATAATATAATTAAATCAGAGTGGTTAGTATATCCAGCCACCTCAAACATTTATCATTTCTTTGTGGTAATAGCTTTTAAGATCCTCTTTTTTGGCTATCTTGAAATATATAATACATTGTTATAATCTATAGTCACTCTACTGTGTATAGTCACCAGAGAGATTGTATTTTGATTGTCCAACCAAACACATTTCGTGAGCTTGGTGAGGGTGGAAATGAGAGGGAATGACAGGAATCTATGCTTTCTGGATTACTGTCAATCTTTGTATTTCTCTTGATATGCCTAAGACCAGGCCAGTTGGTTGATGAACTGGCTAAGCTAAATTTCCTGGTTGCCAGTTGACTGAATTACAAATTCATTTGTCATCCAGTGCCCATGAATTAATACATCTCAATTTGTCCTTAGTATTCAGCTCTTGTTATGGCTTCCCAGAAAAGAAGGTGACAGAGAATTTTTTATCCTGTGCTTTCTACTGGCATATTGTAGAATGACACTTTTTGGAATGCTGTCTCTTAATAGCTCCGAACGCCTTGAGACCAAGTAACTGTTGTCATTTGGCAACAGTTTGATCTTGGGAGTCACACTCAAATTTTTTAACTGATGCCTTCCCTCTCTGAGGGAATTATTTGGATTGAGGGAGTCTGAGTTACTTGGTAAAATTACCACCCTCTGGTGGGGATAAGAAGTTTGCCTTTATGCAGGTCCTGCAGAGTCTCTAAAAAGAGTGATTGACAAGTAGAGTGGCCAGAGGTGCCATAGTCTCATGGGTTTGTTGCATGATTAGAGGTATCACCGGGCTTGAATCTCTTCTGATCTGGGTTATCACTGAGCTGAGTAGTGGGGGCCAGAGTCTGGCTCCTCCTTGCTTCTTTGCATAATCGTTTTTGATGATACAGATATCTCATTATTCTTACTTAAATATGTAATCCTGATATGAAATTGGGGTTTATAGGGATCATGCCCTAGAAGTGTACACTAGTCTCAAGCTCAGCTATTTTGTTTCAAATTACATTCAGTCTCTCTTTCCTTATGATTTTAATTATTGATTATAAATTCATCAGCTGAAAAGAGGACTCTAATCACTCTAATATGCACCCAATTTGGAGTTCACTGTAGCACTGAATTGGTTTTTCTTTATGCTAATTGATACCAAATGGAAGCAATATACA